GAATCCCAACTTTCCATAAATACATCCAAACACACAACCCACCACACGGAGCTGTGTCCCCCGACCTGCTCATGACGGGGGGTAGCCATGTTGATAGCCCCCATTGTTCTAGGTGCGGGAGATTACAGGTGTGTTCACAGACCACTGCCAGGTATGGAGGTAATTAGCAAGGTGTTGATCTCTGACACTCGCTGTGATGGAGGGGGCTTATCTAGCTGCTACTGGCACACTTCAAGGTTGTGGTGTTGTGTGGTGTGGCGTGGCGTGGCGTGGCGTGGCGTGGCGTGGCGTTGCAATATTTACTTTAAATAATCCTATGATTTGAACTTTCAGATTGACAAATTTTATCTGTCCCCATTAGAGATTTATCAGCAGAAACTGTCTGTAAAAAGTCCCAAATAATAAATTCCAATTCTTGTAAAAGTATGAATGCAATATTGATAAAATAAAATACCTCTGAAATTTAGTAACTAAGAACTTTAAAAAGATTAATCCTGCTCCTGAAATAGATACAATTCCCTCTCTCTGACACGAAATGCAGAATTGGGGCAAATTAAAATGTAGACAGACGTAACATTACATACGACCAACTCCAATGTCCTGCGGAGAAGCAAGTTATTTACACACATGTAAAGGTCTGCTATATCAGTGTCATACTCGTAAAACGGCCCAAACTAAACTCTTAATAACATTCCTGTGATCAATTACCATCACATTCTACAACCTTCACCCCAACACGCCCAACCTCTTCAAAAAAATCTATCAACCAAGAAATTTGCACATTGATTAAACTGATCTGGAATAAATTCCTTTAACAGCTTTCAATTTTCAGATTTCTCTACATCCAACAAAGTCTGGCCCCATAACATGGGCGAGATCACTTAATCCAATGACAGAGTATGACACAACACCAGACTTAGACGAGCAGACGCATACCAGAAGCAGACGTCTGCTTTCATCCACACACAATCCACTCAATCAACAACTGTCTAAGATTGATAATTTATTCTCTTTGCAAAGCCAACCTGTTGCTGATTATTTGGCCACAACTGTATCAGATAAAGGCACATCAGTATTTAGATGTCAAATTTCTACCCAGCTTAAGTGGGTCACACTTTGCGTAATGGATCATGATTTGACAGAATGTACTTGAATCCAGACAAGAGGCTCTTCTCTGTTCACAATTGCATTTAACCTGTATAATACTGCCAGAAGGGCTAGCTAGACATTGTGGAAAGACCCTTTTATAGCAATAATGTTCCAGACATTGTGGAAAGACCCTTTTATAGCAATAATGTTCCAGACATTGTGGAAAGACCCTTTTATAGCAATAATGTTCCAGACATTGTGGAAAGACCCTTTTTCAGCAATAATGTCCAGACATTGTGGAAAGACCCTTTTTCAGCAATAATTTCCAGACATTGTGGAAAGACCCTTTTATAGCAATAATGTTCCAGACATTGTGGAAAGACCCTTTTATAGCAATAATGTTCCAGACATTGTGGAAAGACCCTTTTTCAGCAATAATGTCCAGACATTGTGGAAAGACCCTTTTTCAGCAATAATTTCCAGACATTGTGGAAAGACCCTTTTTCAGCAATAATGTTCCAGACATTGTTGAAAGACTCTTTTTTCAGCAGTAATGTTCCAGACATTGTGGAAAGACCCTTTTTTAGCAATAATGTTCCAGACATTGTTGAAAGACCCCTTTTCAGCAATAATGTTCCAGACATTGTGGAAAGACCCTTTTTTAGCAATAATGTTCCAGACATTGTGGAAATACCCTTTCTTTAGCAATAATGTTCAAAAGACTCATTCAAATGTAAAATGTGGCTATTTATTTCCAACTGAGGCTATCTATCTCAATTACTTGATGGTATATACGTCTTTCAGATGTGAAATTATCAAATGATTCAGAAACAATGATTTCCACACCCATATATCATGGATCATTAAATATATGTTAAATATCCAAATAATACAACATAATTATTTCATGTCAAAAGATTAAATTCTTTCCCCTTCTGCCGCAATGCACCAAAGTCTCCCAAAGCCTTGTTCATTTCTCCCTCAAAGCCCCAAAGCCTTGTTCATTTCTCCCCAAACCCACAAAGCCTTGTTCACTTTTCCCCCAAACCCCAAAGTTCCCAAACCCTTGTTAATGTTTCCTTAAAAAAACAGTCCACAAACCCTTGTTCACTTCCGGCCCAAGCCTTGTTTACTTGTCCCCCAAACCCACTAAGTCCCCCCCCCCCTTTCCACCAATGTCAAGCCTTCTTGTCTCCTTGGTTGTTATGGTTACGTAACATCCGATTAACAGTGTACTGTTATCCACCAACTGTTAATATTGACACTGACGGAGACATACTTATCTCCACTATAAACCTGACAAGTACTTGTACACACCATTACGTGGCCTGATGCAATATTTCTCCTCATATCTACCTGACATGTATGTCGTGCTGTAACATTTACGCAACGCGCAATGTCAGAGCTTCATGAGACCACATTGTTTATCAGCTAACAATTGTTCAAGTATGAGATTAAGTACGGATCTGACTTGGTAAAACATTCCTTGCAAGAGGCAACAATCCATCTCATGACAAATTGTCCTGTCCATGCATATTAGACTGAACAAAGGATATAATTTTAGGTTAAAGCAGGCAGGCTCAGACAAATGGGTGCTCCTCTCAAGTTTGATTTAGGACATTCAAACATCACTTTGTTTATCTACGACATCATCTCTTTCAGATAATCACTCTCCTAATTATACACAGATGATGTTTCAGTGAAGTCGCTGGTTCAAACGTCTAGACCATATCTGGTATTACACTCGTATCATGGCACACATAGTCACTCTTTATATACTACTCAAAAGAAGTTAAGGATCGATTCTTTCATATAACTTAAGTTAACCTGTCATTTACTGAATGACAAATACAGGATATCATCCAAGTCTTTTGGTAAAAATAATATCAACACGAGTTGATAAAAGCTTAGAGCTTTGAGGCTTGCCGTGTGTTGATATATCTCATACGAAAAGACACAAGGGTGGGATTCTATTTATCATCCAAAATCATTCTCCCAACTTTATCAGTCTCTGAACACTAATAGCATATTGAGTGTAAAAGTACAGCCAACCAGCGGCAGTGACAGAGATTGGTGATGTCATTTGATTGTAACATCATGGTAACCTATGACATCACAATGGTCTGCAAAGTATTGTGATGCATTTTTATCGTAGTGATATCTTCAAGGCAATATCACTTGGCCAGTTTGGGATGATAAACATTCAAATTCATACACAAGTCACAGAGCTGTATCTCACAGACACTAAGTTGAGTCAGCTCTGAGATAACCATGAGGTACCCAGGCCAATTCTGATCCTGATGCCAGCGTTAGAAACTAACAGTTTCAGTCCACTAGTCCTTATAATGTTAACATATAGCAAAACCCTTAAAAATGGCAAATTTCTACTGGTCCTTATTATACCTTAACTATTGGGCATTTTGGCAAGGACTATAGGACTAGTGCCAATTTCTAACGCTGTGATGCCCTACTAGTTTGTTTGTTTGTTTGTTTGTTTTTATTACATCACAGCCAGCCATATTCCAGCCATATCACAGCAGCCATTTAATGAACAAAATCTGGCTTAAGAAAACCAGTGGTTGATATTACGAGCATGGTTCCATGGTATCAGGATACTACTACAAACAATCAACCACATCATCAAGTCTGGCCACCTGTTCCCATTGTTTGTTTGTTTGTTGATTAACACCGCACTCAGCAATATTCCAGCTATATGACAGCAGTCTGTAAATAATGAGTCAGGACCAGATAATCCAGTGATTGACATTATGAGTATCTTTCTACGCAATTGGAATACGATGACATGCATCAACCATGTCAGCGAGACTAACCACCCAATCCTGTTAGTCGCCTCTTACGACAAGCATAGTCGCCTTTTACGGCAAGAATGGGTTGCTGAAGACCTTTTCTACCCAGGATCTTCACGTGTTTCAACAAATGAAAAAACGTCTCTTTTTAAAAAAAAAATATTTCAAGACTTAATCGCTGCAAATATACATGTATATTCAACCTTGAAGCAAAGCGAAATCTCATTTAATAACACCAAAAATAGACAAGGGGAAACCCAGATGGCAACTGACAAGCTGACTTTGTTAAAAAAATATACTTATATGAATATGGCCAATGTTTTGTTCAACAACAAAGATTTAGAAGGTACTTTATTTGCCGGTCCACAGGGACAGGCAGTCACATGAATTACCAGTCCAAGCCTAATTTTACCTGTAAAAAACAGGGTATTTACCAGTAAACAGGAACACTGCAGTTTTCTAGAGCCAGCCCATCATAGCCAGGTGTTCCACCCGGTTAAGGTACTGGGGACCCACTCAAACACCAATCCCCCCAAGACCAAACCTCCACAAACAACTACATATACTACTCAAAATAAGTTAAAGACCACTCACAATTGGAAGGCTGTGTTGCAATCCTCAACAACCATGCCAGATTTTCTATAGTCACACGACAAGCTGGTGTTCTTTAACTTCTTTTGAGTAGTATATATGCAGCTCCACCCAGTATTATGGTTAGGTATTATGATGGTTACACAAGAGGAAACTATTTAACTTAATTTTGTTTGTTTGTTGTTCAACGCAGCTCTCAGCAATATTCCAGCCATATAACAGCGGTATAAAATCATCAAGTCAGGTCCAGACAACAATAAAAGCACAATTTATATAGCACCTATGCACCCTGTGGAGTATGCTCAAAGCTCAATCCAGTGATTGATGTCATGAGCATGAGTCCATGTAGATTGGGAAACAATGACCTGCAATCAACTTGGTAATCGAGTAAGACAACCCAATTTGTTCAGACGCTCATTGCGACAAGCTTAGGTTACTGGTAAATATTTAATATGAGGTGTTGTAGTGTAAGGATGTTTGGGTGCCATGTTATCAACAAGGGAGACAACCTACCTTTTTGTCCTCAGCAAATTTGAGCAGCTTTGAGTCCATGGCCATAAGGATGTCCTCCCATGCTTCTGACATCTGCTGGATCGTGGTCTGGAGGTACTATAATACACAGAGGAGGGGGACATTAGGAGTGAGTTGGATTTAACACCACTTTTAACAGTATCCCAGTTATATCACGGCATGTCAGCTTAATGTGGGAGGAAAGCCTGAAGTGATGCAGGTCTTAGACGTTCACCACTTCAGTGAAACCCACAAGCACGGGTATGGTGCTGACAAACCTAGAAACATAATCAGGGCAAACCGGGATTCGAACCAACAATCATAGGTTTCTGGCGTGCCCAAGGGACGCAACTCTGCACAGCACAGTTTGGCGCCTTAGATGACTGGGACATGAGGACGAGAGAGGAGGGGGACATTAGGACAAGAGAGGAGGGGGACATTAGGACTAGAGAGGAAGGGGACATGAGGACTAGATCATGTCCTGCATGTAGGGGTTATATTATTACACAAAGCCTGACCACCGATCCAAATAGTCACCTTTAACAAGATAGGTTGTTGGGGCCCTTTTGTCCTAACCGGTATTCCCACAGCTTTGGTCAATACAAAAAGAGGTATCATATATATATAGTAACTGATATAGAAAACAAATTTGGTGAACACGCAGATGTACTTGATGGTGCATCAGCTCCAGCCACGTACCCCCATCAGTGTGGCGATCTGTCCATACTTCAGGGCCAGGAGTCGTAGTTCCTTATGGCGTGATGCGAAGAGGGTCGTGTCATACTGTCAAATGTACAGATGGAAATATGTCACAGGAATGGTGGCTAAGTTTTGTTTCAATAAATTTGCCAAACAGAAACTTTGTCATAACATATAATTAGTTACTTTGTTGTTGTTTAATGCCTCACTTCGCAATATTCTAGTTGTATGATGGCCGTCTGTAACTTAAAAGAATCTGGACCAGTTAATCCAGTGATTGCTTGGGACCATTTCTAACCCGGAATCCCCACAGGTAAAAATCATTAGATTTACAATACAAATGATTTTGTTTTGTTTGTTTGTTTGTTTGCTTGTTGTTTAAAGCTGCACTCAGTGATATTCCAGCTATATGAAGGTGGTCTAATAATCGAGTCTTGACCAGACAACGAACCTGACCACCCAATCCCGTTAGTCGCCACTTACGACAAGCATAGGCTGCTGAAGACAACTTCTACCCTGGATCTTCACGGGTCTGATTGTTACGAGCTTTGGAAGTGTGTTGTCTCAGCATCAATATTGAAAATTATCTAAGGATCATTACTTTGTAATTTCTGTAGATATCATTGCGTGACATTTGATGTAGGAAGTATGTGGTATTTGTAATATTGGCAATATCATGTCTTGTTTGTTTCATGGGCAATGGGTTAGCCTAGTGGTGAAAGCGTTCGTTCGTTGCATCAATCCATGCATTTGTGATAAGATAAAAAGCGTCAACCAAGTCAGCGAGCCTGACCAACCGATCGTGTTAGTCACCTCTTACGACAAGCATAGTCGGTTTTGATGGCAAGCATGAGTTGCTGAAGACCTATTCTACCCCAGATCTTCACAGATACCAATACAAAATATTACATACTTATATTAATCCTCATAGACATGAAGGAACCATACTCAATGAGTCGACTGAGTGCCCACTCGTAATCCAAACTGTTTTGTTTGAAAGACATAATCCAATCAAGAATTGTTCAATAATTCAGTCAATTAATCGAATTTTCATTTCACATAGCAGTTCCTTTCCAATTCACTGAGAAATACCACCATACCAGTAGCATGGTTATGAAAGAAAGAATGTTTTGTGCAGACCGTGAGAAGATAGTAGTCAATATCGTCGGACATCTCCAGTGTCGACTCCACCACCACCGACAGACAGTGCAGGTCCTGCGACAAGATGGCTGAGTGAACACGTCGATTCTGTTGGTAGAAAAGTTGGTAGTACTTTCACAATCCATGTGGAACACAAGCTCTTTGTTCAGAGCTCCAGATAACTTTTTGAGCAATTGTGTTTTTACTCTAGGGTTTCTATTTTAATTGGGTTATAACATTTTTCATGGGTAACCAATATTATTTCACTCATCCATTTATCACTCTATTGGATTTTTCCCCAAATTAGTGAACATTTTAAAATTTAAAATAAAAAAAATAATGTTTTAGATGTATATAACTGTTCTAAATATATAGGCTTGACTCAGAAAGTAAATTAACTCATAATTGTGTTTCGGAAATAAGCTCCGTTGTACGCATGATACAAAAGCTTCATTGGGTATTTACGCGTGCTGTTTTTATACATTTGAGTTTTTCCTTTAACGCACACGTTTTTGTACGCAAGATCATTGAAAGTAATTGGGTTTTGAATAATTTTGGGGAGTATTTTTTACGCAAATACGCGGCTTATCTGTAGCTCTGTTTTGTTACATAACGATCACTGAAACCTGTTTCTGCAATTAATATTTGTGTTTTTTTAAGGAATATCAACATCCAGACAATGTTCAGTAATTACTGTCTATAACTGAAGTAGCAGTACACTGACTCAGAGCCTTCCATTCCTTGTCTTAGGCTCTTGATGCCAAGCACCAGGCCGGGTAACAACAACAAACAGCGTTATCACTATGTCCCGCCATTGAGGCACATCAGAATTTTGTTTGTTCATAATGCAGTGAATCACATGGATATTAATGTTAACTATTAAAAAGAGAGTCCTATATATCCTTAAGAAGAGAAAGGATGGCTTTATGTCATGAGAAAATCTGATTTTCAAACAGTCTTGATAAGTATCTCTTTGATAAGCTTGCAAAGTTTCATTCGTGTAACTTCAGTAATTTCTGAGAAAATTTTCCCATTGCAGACACTATGCAACTGTGTATGCCAAAAATCAAAACACATGTAGCAAGGGCTGTAACTCAGTTAAAAAAAAGAATGATGGCGCCAATTTTCAAACTCAGTTTTGACAAGTATCTCTTCTTGTCCCCATTGCAGACACTGACCACTAAACATGGAGAAAGGGCCATTACTATGTAAGCAATGAATTTACAACACCAATTTTCCAACTCGTTTAAGATCATGACCAGTAACATTAATGTGTAAAATTCCATTTCTCCAACTTACATAGTTTTTGAGAAAATTTATTCCCATTGAGAAGATGGTGGATGGGCAGAAAGACAGAAGGATGGATTGACAAACTCCGTTCCTATATCCCCCACCCCATTTACTGGCAGGTTATATCAAGTACCGTATTTTAACATCTATTGGTATCACATGATGAGAGGATCAAACCACCGACCTTCCTCTCTCGCTTATGTTTCAACACACAAATTACAAAAATATCTTCTGGCGACTAAATTCTATTGCTACACATATATCATGATATATAGACACAAAAATAAACGTGTCTGCTACTGATTGTACTTGCAAATAATTCCCCCCCACTAACAATGAACCGAAATGCATAAATATTAAAGTAATTAGTATTATATTTTAGTTGATAGTTAATTGGATAAGTATGGATATACCTATATAATCTAGCAACATAAATTGCATCATTGTTCGAGTCACAAATAACAAAACTGATTGTGAATGGGTGAGAGTTTTGTTTTACATGGCTTTTAACACTATTTCAGTCATCTCACGCCGTGCCGGCTTAACATAGGAGATGAGGTGACATGAAATGGGGTTTAACATCGCGTCCAAGATTATTGCACTTATATAGCAACGTGCTTAACATAGGAGGAATGTCCAAATCGATGCAGGTCTTAGATGTTTGCCACACTGGGTGCAAACAATGGTATGATAATGACAACCAAAGATAAATAAAGGTTGGAAGTGGGATTCAAACCCATGATCATAGGATCCTAACACACCTAAGAGAGGCAACTCTGCAAAGTTAATGCCACACCGTGAACAACTTGGCAACCATGCCACCAGAATTAAAAAAGAACAAGTATTTGTCACAGAGTGACGAAATATCCCCCGCCATATACACCATAGTACCAAATATGAAGACAATCCAGCGATTAGTTCTTGAGATATTGTGGCAACACCGTTTTCCAACTCCAAAAACAGATTTGCCTGCTGTGACCTTGAAAATGGGGTCAAGGTCACCAAATCTGACAGGTGTATGCGGTGTCTGTATATACACTATAGTTCCAAATATGAAGACAATCCAGCGATTAGTTCTTGAGATATCGCGTCAACACCGTTTTCTAACTCCAAAAGCAGATTTGCCTGCTGTGACCTTGAAAATGGGGTCAAGGTCACCAAAACCGACTGGTGTCTGCGGTGTCTGTATATACACCATAGTTCCAAATATGAAGACAATCGAGAGGTTTAGTTCTTGAGATATCGCGGCAACACCGTTTTCCAACTCTAAAAGCAGATTTGCCTGCTGTGACCTTGAAAATGGGATCAAGGTCACCAAAACCGACTGGTGTCTGCGGAGTCTGTATATACACTATAGTTCCAAATATGAAGACAATCCAGTGTTTAGTTCTTGAGATATCGCGGCAACACCGTTTTCCAACTCCAAAAGCAGATTTGCCTGCTGTGACCTTGAAAATGGGATCAAGGTCACCAAAACCGACTGGTGTCTGCGGTGTCTGTATATACACCATAGTTCCAAATATGAAGACAATCCAGTGTTTAGTTCTTGAGATATCGCGGCAACACCGTTTTCCAACTCTAAAAGCAGATTTGTCTGCTGTGACCTTGAAAATGGGATCAAGGTCACCAAAACCGACTGGTGTCTACGGAGTCTGTATATACACCATAGTTCCAAATATGAAGACAATCCAGTGTTTAGTTCTTGAGATATCGCGGCAACACCGTTTTCCAACTCTAAAAGCAGATTTGTCTGCTGTGACCTTGAAAATGGGATCAAGGTCACCAAAACCGACTGGTGTCTGCGGAGTCTGTATATACACTATAGTTCCAAATATGAAGACAATCCAGCGATTAGTTCTTGAGATATCGCGGCAACACCGTTTTCTAACTCCAAAAGCAGATTTGCCTGCTGTGACCTTGAAAATGGGGTCAAGGTCACCAAAACCGACTGGTGTCTGCGGTGTCTGTATATACACCATAGTTCCAAATATGAAGACAATCGAGAGGTTTAGTTCTTGAGATATCGCGGCAACACCGTTTTCCAACTCTAAAAGCAGATTTGCCTGCTGTGACCTTGAAAATGGGATCAAGGTCACCAAAACCGACTGGTGTCTGCGGAGTCTGTATATACACTATAGTTCCAAATATGAAGACAATCCAGTGTTTAGTTCTTGAGATATCGCGGCAACACCGTTTTCCAACTCCAAAAGCAGATTTGCCTGCTGTGACCTTGAAAATGGGATCAAGGTCACCAAAACCGACTGGTGTCTGCGGTGTCTGTATATACACCATAGTTCCAAATATGAAGACAATCCAGTGTTTAGTTCTTGAGATATCGCGGCAACACCGTTTTCCAACTCTAAAAGCAGATTTGTCTGCTGTGACCTTGAAAATGGGATCAAGGTCACCAAAACCGACTGGTGTCTGCGGAATCTGTATATACACCATAGTTCCAAATATGAAGACAATCCAGTGTTAAGTTCTTGAGATATCGCGGCAACAAACAGGTGGGACGTACGGACGGACGTACGGACGGACAGACGTACGGACGGACGGACGTACGGACGGTCGTGAATACTATATCCCCCGCTTCGCGCTTTCGCGCGGCGGGGGATAACAAAAACATCTGAACAACAAGCACGAAATACTCATATCCCCCGCCAATATGACATGTCCAGTTGCCATGGAAACTAAAAAAATAATGTTCTTAAAAGTCTCAAACTATCAAAAGGCACCAGTTCACCAGTAGACCTATCTATGTACCAAGTTCGGTTAAGATATCTCTCATGGTTTTTGAGTTCTGCTCTGGAAACAAAACATGAGCAATGGACGGAAGGATTTCATGGCTGGGGATAATAAAGTATTTAATCCAAAGTAATTTACTTAATTTAAATTTTGATTACCCCTGTTAATGGCTGGATGGTGTTTGTGACTATCATGTTACTGTCATCCTCACGTACCTGGGAGCCATCTTGTAGACTGATGGAGACGACGGCTGCATGGAAGATGCCATACACAAACATCTGAAGCTCATCACGATTCGTCCCCACTAGCAGCAAGTTCAGTCTGAAGTAGATCAGCATTAAATCACTTAGAAGTCTTAAAATTGATATTTTACAGATATCTATATTATTACTGACATGGATGAGGAAGAAACAATGGTTTTTATGGTTGTACTTACACATGAAGACTGGGACCATGTACGTTCTCATGTACATAAGGCTGTGCAGGTATACAGTATAAAACAAGCACTATCTAACTCGAAACATAATTGACTTCGTTTAGAATTGGACACTGCATTACCTTGAGGGTTATGGAAAAAGTCTTGTGAGTTTGGTTAATACCCATCCCAAAAAAATTAGGCTCGTGAGAATAGAACATCATCAACTCACTCTTTCTGATCCTTGAGTCGCTTGCTGTCTTCTACATTCTCCTCTCTGAAAATATAGTTCTGTGTCACCAACAAAACCAGATCTGGCTTCCATGACAACCAGATCATACATCACCTGCGCCCACTTGCACAAAGCAATCTTAGCGCTAAGACTATTGTAGGCCTATGTTAAAGTATGGGTGTTACAATCATCTTAGCGCTAAGATCGCTTTGTGCAAGTAGGCCCTGGTCTCTATGACAACCATATCATACATCACTTGGTCTCCATCACAAGCAGATCATACATCACCTGTCTCCATCACAACCAAATCGTACATCACCTGTCTCCATCACAACCAGATCATACATCACCTGGTTTCCATCACAACCAGATCATACATCACCCGTCTCCATCACAATCAGATCATACATCACCTGGTCTCCATCACAACCAGATCATACATCACCTGTCTCCATCACAACCAGATCATACATCACCTGGTCTCCATCACAGCCAGATCATACATCACCTGGTCTCCATGACAACCGGATCATACATCACCTGGTCTCCATCACAACCAGACCATACATCACCTGGTCTCCATCACAACCAGATCATACATCACCTTGTCTCCATCACAACCAGATCATACATCACCTGTCTCCATCACAACCAGATCATACATCACTTGGTTGCTATGACAACCAGAACATACATCACCTGTCTCCATCACAGCCAGACCATACATCACCTGGTCTCCATCACAACCAGATCATATATCACTTGGTTGCTATGACAACCAGAACATACATCACCTGCCTTCATCACAGCCAGACCATACATCACCTGGTCTCCATCACAACCAGATCATACATCACCTGGTCTCCATCACAACCAGATCATACATCACCTGGTCTCCATCACAACCAGATCATACATCACCTGTCGCCATCACATCCAGATCATACATCACTTGGTTGCTATGACAACCAGACCATACATCACCTGTCTCCATCACAGCCAGACCATACATCACCTGTCTCCATGACAACCAGATCATTTATCACCTGTCTCCATCACAACCAGATCATGGTCGCTATGACAACCAGATCATACATCACCTGGTCGCTATGACAACCAGATCATACATTCAACTATCAATAAGAAGACAGCCAAGACATTCATCAACGTCACAACTTATAAGTGTACCTACTGTTGTCCTTTAGATAATGTCCCATAGCTGAAAAATATAACACTTGGTAAGAAACAAAATCATCTTGCTGATACACATGAAGGAGTTAGTGTTTGTTCGTTTGTTGTTTTAAGCCACATTCAGCAACATTCCAGCTATATGATAGAGGTCTGTAAGAGGCTGGATCAGACAATCCAGTGATTGCTATCATGAGTATCGATCCACTCAATTGGGATACGATGACATGTATCAACCAAGACAGCAAATCGGACCACCCGATCCCGTTCGTTGCCTCTTACGACAAGCATAGTCGCCTGTTACGGGAAGCATGGGTTGCTGAAGACCTATTCTACCCCGGATGTTCACAAGTGACTGGAGTTAGTGAGGGTGTTGTGAGGACGTGAATGAATTTCATCCCTTTAGGGTTTTCATGATGCAATCTGTTCCACCAACTTAAAGCATACAATCAAGCTTCACCCTTGGTGGCCATTGTTGTGAACTAATCCCCATTGAAGATGCCCATTAAAAAAAGCTGGAGTCATATTTGCGAGGCCTTTCATCCCACTGGGAATACACAAATTTCTGTGCAGATTCAATCAATTTCTTGCCTTTTCTAAAACATAAATCTTTCAATATTCATAAGAAATCTCTGCTAAAAGCAGTGTCGATTGTGCAATTTTCTGTGTATGATGAACATGTGTTTATGAATCACTATCAAATAGTTATGATACATGTGTTGGTGAAACGGTTAGCGTGTCCTTTCCCCCCCCCCCCCCCCCCCCCATCACCTCTTATGACTCTTACGACAAACTTGGGTTGCTGAAGACCATTCCAACACACATCTTTATGGGTAACATCAATCCAGTGTGGGGGCACGGGTGGCCCAGTCGTCTAATGCGCTGCGATTCGCTGTGCAGAGTTGCGTCCCTTGGGCACACCAGAAACCTATGATTGTGGGTTCGAAACCCGGTTCGCCCCAATTATGTTTCTAGGTTTGTCAGCACCATACCCGTGCTCTGAGACCTGCATCACTTCGGGCTTTCCTCCTACATTAAGCTGACACGCCGCGATATGACTAGAATACTGTTATAAGCAGCGTTAAACCCAACTCACTCACTGACTCAATCCAGTGTTACTGGAGGCATCACCTTTTGTTGAGTGGTTGTAGTTTGGGCAGGTAGTCCGCGGAACTGTCCTCGGGGTAGGGTTCCGCTGTCCACTCCACTCCGTCTGTAAACACCTGCGATATCCAGGTCATGCTAGTTACCTCCCCTTCCACCGTCATCGTGTGAAGGACTTCTGCGTTCTCCACATCACACAGCTTGAGCTGGCCGGACTTGTACCCAACTGCCAACACTGCACATACAGACTCCAGTATAACAACACCAAGGCAAACTCAGAGATGGATCTACGGACACACTTTGAAAACACATAGTTAAAGGGAAGAGAATATATGGATGTCAACTTCTTTATTATGAGGAACACAATGTTTCAGAGTATATGTTTACTCCTTCATCAGGTGAATAATGATGATGATGATGATGATGATGATGATGATGATGATGATGATGAGTAAGCATATACTTCAAACGTGTTTCTCATAATAAAGAAGTTGACATCCATAAATTCTCTTCCTTATGTGTATCACTTCTAAATGCCTTTCAAAGACCGTATATTTAAATTTGTGTAAAGTTCTTCTAGGGTTTTAGGCATGAGACAATCTTGTTATTGTATGGATTCGAATCTCATTCAATGTCATTCAAGATGTACTGCCAAAATATTTTTCTTGTCTTCATTTCAAGTTAAAGGTTTATTATGCATTTTCAGTGTGTTTCAGCATATGTTACTATGTCAACAATAACTACCAGTAATTTTTACTGTTTACAGAATTATAAAATAAATTATTTAATTAAATGAGAATTTATTTGAAAATCCTAATAGTTTGGTTGCTTTTGCCAATCAGGACTTGTGCTTCGGCAATCTTGTTCAGTTGTCTCATTATTGCCATTGCCGAATATTCATGTACTCAACTAACAATGTTTATACGGGTTAAGTGTTTTGTAACATCACATAATAGTCCCTATCATGTATACTCCCCATGGAGTTGAGAACATAACTGGAATGCAAACTGATCCTTGACCGGGGAAATAGTGTCATGCCCGTCCATTGTGTGGAGTTCTTAGGCACAACTAATATTTTCATTATCCCCCTTTAATAGCATTAGCATTTAGGGATCAAACAAGGACTGGTGGGCTAGCCATGTTAAACTGAGGCATGGTACTTCTGGGCTAGCACTATAAAACTGTATGAACTAGTACAAGCAGCCACCCCACACACTCTCCCACACCCCTTCCCATCCCACACCCCTTCCCACCCCACACACCCCTTCCCACCCCACACACACTCCGACACCCGTTCCCACCCCACACTCTCCAACACCCCTTACCACCCCACACACTCTCCCACACCCCTTCCCATCCCACACACTCTCCCACCCCCCTTCCCACCCCACATACTCTCCGACACCCCTTCCAACCCACACACTCTCCCACAACGCATCCCACCCCACACACTCTCCCACACCGCATCCCACCCCACACACTCTCCCACCCCACACACGCTCCCACACCCCTTCCCACCCCACACACGCTCCCACACCCCTTCCCACCCCACACACTCTCCCACACCCCTTCCCACCCCACACACTCTCCCACACCCCTTCCCACCCCACACACGCTCCCACACCCATTCCCACCCCACACACCCCTTCCCACCCCACACACCCCTTCCCACCCCACACACTCTCCCACACCCATTCCCACCCCACACACGCTCCCACACCCATTCCCACCCCACACACTCTCCCACACCCCTTCCCACCCCACACACTCTCCCACACCCCTTCCCACCCCACACACTCTCCCACACCCCTTCCCACCCCACACACTCTCCCACACCCCTTCCCACCCCACACACGCTCCCACACCCCTTCCCACCCCACACACGCTCCCACACCCCTTCCCACCCCACACACTCTCCCACACCCCTTCCCACCCCACACACTCTCCCACACCCCTTCCCACCCCACACACGCTCCCACACCCCTTCCCACCCCACACACGCTCCCACACCCCTTCCCACCCCACACACGCTCCCACACCCCTTCCCACCCCACACACTCTCCCACACCCCTTCCCACCCCACACACTCTCCCACACCCCTTCCCACCCCACACACTCCCACACCCCTTCCCACCCCACACACGCTCCCACACCCCTTCCCACCCCACACACGCTCCCACACCCCTTCCCACCCCACACACTCTCCCACACCCCTTCCCACCCCACACACGCTCCCACACCCCTTCCCACCCCACACACTCTCCCACACCCCTTCCCACCCCACACACTCTCCCACACCCCTTCCCACCCCACACACGCTCCCACACCCCTTCCCACCCCACACACGCTCCCACACCCCTTCCCACCCCACACACTCTCCCACACCCCTTCCCACCCCACACACGCTCCCACACCCCTTCCCACCCCACACACTCTCCCACACCCCTTCCCACCCTACACACTCTCCCACACCCCTTCCCACCCCACACACTCTCCCACACCCCTTCCCAACCCACACACTCTCCCACACCCCTTCCCACCCCACACACTCTCCCACACCCCTTCCCACCCCACACACGCTCCCACACCCCTTCCCACCCCACACACGCTCCCACCCCACACGCTCTCCCACATCCCTTCCAAGCCCACACGCTCTCCCACATCCCTTCCAAGCCCACACACTCTCCCACATCCCTTCCAAGCCCACACGCTCTCCCACACCCCTTCCCACCCCACATGCTCTCCCACACCCCTTCCCACCCCACACGCTCACCCACATTCTTTCCCACCCCACACACTCACCAACACCCCTTCCCACCCCACACACTTACCCACACCCCTTCCCACCCACACACTCTATCACACCCCTTCCCACCCCACACACTCACCCACACCCCTTCCCACCCCACACGCTCTCCCACATCCCTTCCCACCCCACACGCTCTCCCACCCCCCTTCCAAGCCCACACACTCTCCCACATCCCTTCAAAGCCCACACACTCTCCCACACCCCTTCCCACCCCACACGCTACCCTACACGCCTTCCCACATCACACACTCTCCCACACCCCTTCCCACCCAACACCCCTTCCCACCCCACACACTCACCCACATCCCTCCCACTCCACACCCCTTCCCACCCCACACATTCCCCCACACCCCTTCCCACCCCACACGCTACCCAACACCCCTTCCCACCCCACACCCCACACGCTCCCCCACACCCCTTCCCACCCCACACCCCTTCCCACCCCACACGCTCTCCCACACCCCTTCCCACCTCTCCCACGTCCCTTCCCACCCCACACGCTCACCCACATTCTTTCCCACCCCACACACTAACCAACACCCCTTCCCACCCCACACACTTACCCACACCCCTTCCCACCCCACACACTCTATCACACCCCTTCCCACCCCACACACTCTATCACACCCCTTCCCACACCACACACTCACCCACACCCCTTCCCACCCCACACACTCTCCCACACCCCTTCCCACCCCACACACTCTCCCACACCCCTTCCCACCCCACACACCCCTTCCCACCCCACACACTCACCACATCCCTTTGTTTAAGTGCAAAAAATCTTGACCGCAACATAAATCCTCATATCACCTCACCAAACAGCACAACTCATAAAAGTTGAACACATTTTGGTTCACTTCTTCTCTGTATTGTATTTACGGTTTGATTACACAAATCACATTCAAAACCCAGGCCTGACCTTTGCCATCTGGTCTCCATGCAAGTCCTCCAACTGTCTCCCCCTCACCAGGGGGCGCTAATGTCCATACTTTCTGCCATGACAGGCGATGCAGAATCACCTGAACAGAAAAATTATTCATAAACAATCAAATACATTGACAAAAACTATTGTATTACAAACAACCCCCTTAGACTTAGATACAGTCCACAATAACATGTTATCAAAGTCCTATCAATATTGGTGCCAATAGTTTTGCCAGCGACACATCTGCTTACCTCCCCTTGGATATTGGCGAGTGCCACCAGGTCTATGCGTGGAGACCACACCATGTGACAGATTTCGTTAGACACATGCTTCTCATCAACCTGACGAAAGGCCTCTTCGGACATCTTCTAGCGATTTATTAATCTGAAATAAAAACCATGGCATAAAATAGATGTATGACTCAAATCTATGGAGGTCCTCAAACTGTGGCAGACAACTAATTCTGGCAGAAATGTTAACCTGCATCATCATGTGAAACCATTTCCGCTATGATATGTTGATGTTGCATCCTGGGAAGATGCTGCTCGATTTAACCGTGTGCCTCAGTCTTGTTTCCCAAACCCACAGTAAACAAAATACTTCTAAAAATAAATTTTCTTGACAAAGTGCAGTCAAAACACCGAAGTGGGGTCTTTTCAAGTGACAGGCTTCTGCATAAGGTCTTCATTTTACTTAAAATTAAATTGCATGTCAAAAAATTAATTTGATAGCAAGTAGGCCAGTGTTTTAAATGGGCTACACAAAACAACCCTGTATTAATGCTAAACTGTGAGAACCAACACCAGTATTGCTGGACACACAGATTAACAGGAATTTCAACCATTTGGATCACCTTTGGTTTTCAGTTATAAAATATTTATAATCTTCTTCCTATGTACATTTAACCAGAGCTCAAGATAAGTTTTTGAGAAATTGAGTGTTTACTCAAAGGTTTCTATCTTAATTGGGGGGCACGGGTGGCCCAGTCGTCTAAGGCGCTGCGATTCGCTGTGCAGAGTTGCGTCCCTTGGGCTCGCCAGAAACCTATGATTGTGGGTTCAAATCCCGGTTCGCCCCGATTATGTTTCTAGGTTTGTCAGCACCATACCCGTGCTCGTGGGTTTCACTGAAATGGTAAACGTCTAAGACCTGCATCACTTAGGGCTTTCCTCCCAAATTAAGCTGACATGCCGTGATATAACTGGAATACTGTTAAAAGCGGTGTTAAACCAAACTCACTCACTCACTCACTCACTATCTTAATTGGGTTATTACATTTTTCATTGGGTAACCAATATTTTTTTCACTCATCTATTCATCAGTCTATTGGGTTTTTCCCAAAATGAGTAAGCATTTTGAGATTCAAAAAAAAAAGCAACTATGTTTGTCATAAGAATCCACTAACAGGGAACGAGTGGTCTGACTTAATGACTTGGTTGATGCATGTCCTAAATAACGTAGATTGATACTCATGATGTCAATTACTGGATTGTCTGGTCCAGACTCCATTATTTACAGACCACCATCACATAGCCGAAATATTGCTGAGTGCGGTTTTAAACTGCAAAAAACAAAAACAAACAAACACACCCCGTACTCTTTGAACCTACACATACCGTATTCGACGTAATAAGCGCCCAGGGCGCTCTCAAAATTAGAAATAAGGGGCTCTTATTAGAATATTATTTTGGTAAATGGTGAACGTAAATTTTGTGGTCTATGCTGACATGTTTATATACGACAGATATATCTTTCCAGAATTTCATTGCCCATAATAATTAAGGGTACATATAGCACACGAGTGCGTATTATACACGAATAAATAAGTGTACATTGGTCAATCGGAAGGGGTGCTAATTGGGATTGTTCACTAGCCAATATATTAGCAAATATCGCCTAAGGCGCTTATTAGAGCGGGGCGCTTATTACGTCAAATACGGTACCAATTTCCAAACAATTTTTATTCACACTAAACTGTCTCAAATAGTCTTTCATCCATCAGCGAAACACTTCAGCTTGAGACAGAAGAACGCATAATGCTCCAGCACAATGACAATATTTCACAAGCATCATCACTACCAGCGATCAGAAGGCAGCATGAACACTCCTTGTGACTGGAGACAACAAATCTACCTTGTCCGAACCAATCTATCTCTCCTTACAGTATCAGCTTAATGGCTATTTGTATTCAGCTATGTACCAATATTGCATTGAAAGTGAAAGTGACCTTTATGTCAGGCCCAGCCTGCACTGTGATGTGACTGAATCTGAGGATGAATGGCCATTAACACCCAGATTAAAACATTACCCGAGCAGGATGCATTTATCACCAGCCAGCTTTAATTGCTGTAAATGTAGAGAATGTGTTCCCCTCCATTTCCCCCCAACAGATGGGGAAGTGTGGACATATGTTCCCCTTAGTCAACTCTACACTGAGTGAGTGAGTGAGTGAGTGAGTGAGTGAGTGAGTGAGTGAGTGAGTGAGTGAATTGGGTTTAACACCATATTGCTGAGGTGAGGTGAAATGGGGTGCTCTTATATAGAGATGTGTGTGTGTGTGTGTGTGTGTGTGTCTGTCCGTCCGTCTGTCTGTACTAGTCCACACTAACGCCAATTGTATAGTGCTAACCCACTGAGATTCCATGCCGCCGTTTAACTTGAATACCCCAACCAGAAGCACCAGTCCTTGTTTGAGTCCCTTAATGCCAAACACTAGGCAGGGAAGCAACAAGTAACATTCATTTTAGGTCTTTTGGTAATTTTAATCTTAAAACTGAAAAAATAATGATATCTGTAAAATTCTTTTAACTTGAATCTTATAAAAAGAAAATCTAATGAATCGTCCAAACTTCATTAATTCAGAAACCACGCTATGCAAAGCGCACCAATCTGAAAAGATTATTTGTTATTCTGGTATTTTGTAAAAGTAGTTTTGCAGTAAAATTATTTTCCAGCATTTAATTAACATCAATATCTATTCAAGTCTGTTTTTTTGGTGACCCTTCCCAGGTTTACTCATAACAAAGTAGGTTCCTCTCATCATTAAATGGGGCTCCATTGAACAGATCCCTCCACTTATTTCCAAATGATTGTAAATGCTAGTCCGTAAACTAGACTGATTCTGATGACACTGAATTTGACATTATCACAAAAGTGGATTCCCAAATGTGAGAAAACCGCAAAATGTCCTCCCTTTACATTCAACGTTAAGCCAATAAAAACATAAAACTGTTACCTTTCTCACAGTAAATGCCCCAGCCAAACAAAATATTTCAACATTTAGATTGACTCAAACTGATCCCAGGGTAAAATACAGCCTCATTAAGGCTAAAGAGGAAAGTATTACCGATAGCAATCACGTTCAACATCTTAAAGAGACACATTTTGAATCATCATGTTCATCACAACAACCAACAATGGCCAATAAAGGCACAGGATTTAACCTGAACGGGGAACAAGTTGGGATGATTTCAAGCAGCTAGTCCAAAGACATTACCACCACAATCATGCCTCAATCTAAACCAGACATCCTTATCTATCTTATCCAAATACATCACAGAAAACAGAAATGAAAAGCCTTCATAATAGAAGGCAGAAAATCAGGAAGTTCAGTTCACTTCATTAAAAGCCCTGTGTTGCTTTGATGACCAAAGAGAAGAGATTTTACAACCACAGTCACATCATGGGGAGGGGCTAGGCTTAATCCTGGCCAGTTCTTCAAGCCCTTTGATCAGCTGATGTAATAGTCTCTATCTGGTCTTGATTTCAAACACTGCTCTCTTTTCAAAAGGCTATTATTTTCTCCCCAATGGAAGACAAAAATAAGAAGGCATCATAAACATTTATGTCAGGACTTAAGCTGGAGCTTGTCGGGGTAAGAACCAGGTTACACAATCTTATGGTCGGTTTATTGGTTTATAGGGGCAGGGGAGTGGATGACCAACACTCCCTCAGTTTGTAATTCACAGTAGGAAAAGTGGTAAAAGTCATGAAATGACATATTCAACAAACTACCATCCACTGATTTGCTACCTGACCACGTAAACTTTAACGCCAGTGAGCAGATTACGTAACTTGAATGAAGAGGAGCTAATATTGAGTTTCAGTGGAGGGTCATGCTTATGTCCATGATTGTACAGGCAAGGAAATAAATATACATCATTAGTCTAACTATCCTCTATAAAACATTCAAGTGAAGCTACTAAAATTTACAGTTAATTAACAGTCATCTGGCTCCAATTCAGGGTGTGCAGTTTTGGAACAGGGCTCTCTATGGAAAATTCAAAATATAAATAGTAGAAATTTGACAAAATTTGGCATATCAATGAATATATAATTACCTTGGAAGCTATTGCCAAATTTTATGATTGTCGAAAAAATAGTTCAATACTAATACTGCAATAAGCCCTTTAGGAGATGATTGCCTTAAAATCTTATAATTCGTGAAAATTAATTAAATTTTGATTGATTCTTCATAAAAATGTGATGCAGGGGGATTTTATTGTACATTTAATCATGATAATATACTTTACAAACTGTTCAAGCCATCTGTATACAGTAATTTTGGATGGATGTGATTCACGAAACTAACATATTGTAATGTAAAAGGTCAAGTTTAGTCAAAGATGTGTATTGTATTAAAGGCCACCGGCCCATATATATAGGAGCTACATACAAGTAGTTTTACATATTCAGATACATGACTAATGTTCAACAAATTGTTTCTATATTTTATATTGCCAGTTTCAATATGACAGTATCATCTTTTGAAGAGAGAAGAAAAATTAAATCATGTACAAGTTATGCGTTCTGGTATAAACCTGTTTCTTAGATCACAATAAAAAGGGCATACAAAAGAAAAATGAATTCATTTTCTATTGCTGAATGGGCCGCCTCCGTGGTCTTGTGGTAGAGCGTCCGCCCGGAGAGCGGAAGGTCAGGGGTTCGATCCCTGGCCGCGTCATACCAAAAGACGTTAAAAGATGGTACTTGTTGTTACCCTGTCTGGCGCTCGGCATTAAGGGGCTAAAACAAGGACTGGTCGGCTCGGAGTCAGTATACTGTGTCTGAGTGGGGTATTCATGTTAAACTGCGGCATGGTATCTCAGTGAGCTAGCACTATAAATCGGCATCAGTCCGGACTAGTACAAGCAGCCACACACACATACACGTGCATGCACGTCGCTATATAAGTGCAATAATCTTGGACGCGACGTTAAACCCAATTTCACCTCACCTCACCTATTGCTGAATGACATAATGGGCATAACCTCTTCGATATTTTAGTGGACAGTTTTCTTCCTTCATTTATCATTAGATCTAACAATAAAACAAATGAGAACAATATTGGCCTCAAGATACATCCTTGTCGTAAGCCAACAGGA